GGGTGCGACAGGGAGGAAGGACTTGTAAGGAGAAGGAGTGGCGGAGGAGGAGGAGGAGGAGGAGGAGGAGGAGGAGGAGGAGGAGGAGGAGGAGGAGGAGGAGGAGGAGGAGGAGGAGGAGGAGGAGGAGGAGGAGAGAGGAGGATGAGGAGATGAGGAGGAGGAGAGGCGCATGTAGCCTGAGGAGGAGGAGGAGGACGGCGAGGATGCTGCTGTGCCCACCCCCCTCGGAGTGCGGCGCGGCCCGAGGTACAGGACGGCCCGCGTATGGCGCGGACAGCCGGATGCGACGAGTGCAGATACAGCGGCGGCCAGAGCAGGGATGGGTAGAGGGAAAAGAACTATGCACATACACCGATTCTAAACAGGCCCATCCTGAACCCAGGATCGGTGCATACGCCCTCCTATGGCCAGGAAGGCATATGCACCGATCCTGGGTCAAGGATGGGCCTTGCCAGGATCGGTGCATGTGCATAGTTCCCTTTGCTCGAATGGGGGAGAGGATGGGCCCGGGCACCCGCCACGGCTGGACAACTCGAGACGGCAGCTGTTGTTCCGCGCTCCGGGGGTCCCAGAGACCGACCTCGGGCCCCGTGGCTGTCAAACACAGTCGGGGCGTTGACCTCAGGAACCCTAAATAAGGAACGAGGCCCCTATTTTCCATAAGTTAAACTTCGATTTCAGATCGGAAACCAAAGGAAAACCTAAGGCAAGCACCTCCCCAATGAAAAGGGTTCCTTCTTCAGCGCCCCGACTGTAATGGCCTGGAAGTGGCAAGCCGGCCCTGGGGCCGGAGCCGAGGCGGTTCGGGGGCGCCCGCGCCTCGAAACAGTCGTGCCGCCGGGTGTCAGGGGACCCCCAAGTGTCGTGAGAAGGGGGCGACGCGGGCTGTGTGCCGACAACGTCGACCTCCAGGGGATGTCTTTTGGCGCCGCGCGCCGCGAGGGGGTGGCCTTATAAGGTGGCGGGGGGCGCCTTAGAAGGCAACGGGGGGCTTCTTAGACGCAGATATTCGATGTCAAAATCACACCGGCCCTCTGGACGTGAGTGGCTTAGGGAGTTTCCTCTTCCACCCCCCCCTGCTTCCCCTTCGGGGAGGGGTTTACCCCTCCCCCTCCCCCCTCCCCCTGTGCTTGGACGGAGCCTTTCGCGAGGGGTTGGAGCGTCCAAGATGGCCTCGGCGAGGAAGCCAACATCATTGATTTTACGAAGGTGTTGGCCACATGTTGGCCTCCTAGGGGGAATCCTAACCAGGGAGCCCCACTCATTTGATCGATCTCTCCCAAGATGGCCTCATGATGGCCCCCAAGTTGCCCCAAGACGGCCCTGAAGAGGTATCAAGGAGGTCCAAGATGCCCCCACGATGCTCCCAAGATGCCCCAAAAGAGGCTCCCAGGAGACCCCCAAGAGGCTCCAAGAAGCCCCCCAGAGGCACCCACGACGCCCCGAGAGACCCCAAGAGGACGCCAAGAGACTCTCGCAAGAAATCCGACGATATGCCGAGAGGCATCCAAGAAGCCTCTCGCCCTCCTCCTCCTCCTCCTCCTCCTCCTCCTCTTCCTCATCCGCCTGCTCCTCCTGCCTCGTCCCTCCTCCCCCTCCCCCATCTCCCTCCTCCTCCTCCTCCTTCTCCTCCTCCTGCTCCTCCTCCGATTCCTCCTCATCCTCCCCCTCTTGGGGTACGACGTCTTGCCCAACCCTTTATTCCACGGCGTTATACTCCACATCCCTGATCAGGGCAACTCCTCTGGGCATCGTTTCTGGATAGGCTGGTGGGGTTACTCTTTTTTATACTATATATATACAGCCGCAGGCGGAAGCGCCGGCGGCGAGCAGTATCGGTCGGGCTGCGGCCGCGACTAAATTCCCGGGCGCGCGCGGGAGCCGCGGATCAGGCGGCGAGGGGGGCGGCAACCCAAACTGGCTGGTGGGGTTACGCGAAGTGTCTAGAATTTTGTTCATCACGAGGTCCTGAGATGCCCGATCCTGTTACTTGGGAGAGCTCTTCAGTCTGAGTCGGCGGCCCTGGAGGCCCGACGAGAGCCCACAGACGCCAACGACAGAAGATTTTCCGATGTTGATTGTTGTCAAGTCGTCGTCTGCTGTCTGGTGCAGGGCCCGGAGCCTTCCAGGAAGGCTTCGTATGAGCTGGGAGCATCTGAAAAGACGGCCCCGCGGCCCACGACCGACGCTGTGAAAGAGGCACGACGTTGGAGGTCCAGGAAAGAGGAGGCGGAGGAGGAGGAGGAGGAGGAGGAGGAGGAGGAGGAGGAGGAGGAGGAGGAGGAGGGAGGAGGAGGAGGGAGGGAGAGAGGACGAGGAGGAGGAGGAGGAGGAGGAGGAGGAGGAGCGGAGGAGGAGGGAGGAGGGAGGAGGAGGAGGAGCAGGAGGAAGGCAGCGTCAAGCCTCGACCCTCATGTCTCCAGCGTCAGCGTCGGGAGATGGAGGATGAGGAGGAAGGCAACGTCGAACCTTGACCCTCATGCCTCCAGCGTCAGCGTCGGAAGGAGGAGGAGGAGGAGGAGGAGGAGGAGGAGGAGGAGGAGGAGGAGGAGGATTAGCATGAAGGAAGCGGGTCCTGGCCATGGGAAATGACTCGCTGCTTTCAAGCCCTTGGGGTCCCAGGGCCGCCACAAACGAAACACGTACTCAAAATGAAGAGCTGGCTCCTGGGAGCACCCCGGGGTCTGCAGTCAAGACGCTGACCTAAGGGTCGCTTCGGGTTCAGGAGGGGCTCTGGTTCTCGAGCTGCTGCGCGGACCCAGGTCAGGGCGAAAGGTGTACGTGTGGCGCCAAGGCTCGCCGTGGCCAGTAACGCCCAGTCGTTTCTTATTCGGCGATTCTTCTGGCGGCACGGTGACTTCCTTCCCTCAAGTGAAGGGGCCCTGGGACACACAAATGAATAGACACAGATAACAAGATTCCCAACCTTTTCCCATATTTTCTGGGTTTCTGTCTTCCCCCCCACTTCCCATATTTTCGCATACTTTCTGGGGAATCGACGATTGCTTGTGTCTGTGGGTTTTTGTCCCTCCTGAGACTTGCTTCCCTCAAGACCCGCTTCCTTCACGGCGGGAGGAGCCGGCCCACAGGCGCACGAAGAGAGGGCTGACATGCCCGCGGGCCTGCCGCACGAAAGGCGTGCGCCGGCCCGGCTCTGGCGGCCGTGCGCAAGGTGCCCTCGCCAGCCGCACTGCGGGCGCGCCGGCGTCTGTGATACATCGCGCGTGAGCAGTGGCCACCTCGGCTGCACGCTCAGAGGTGGCCCTGGGCAGAACTTCGCTCTCGGCCCTGACCTTCCAGGAGGGCAAAAAAATGCCACGCGACTGAAAACCCCATCCCAGAGCTATTCCATGTCTTCATTTTAGGCTGTTTCGCTCAGTTGTTTCGGTTTTTAGGCCTCCAGTGCTAAAAAATGGCTCTCTGGAAGGTCAGGGGGTGCGCGGCTCGTCGACCGCTGCATGCGGTGCGGCAGCAGGAAGGCCTGCATGCGAGGGCCTGGCCGCTCCGCGGGCCCGGCACGCCGCGCACCGGGAGGCCTGCCGAAGGGGTCACTTCCCCTGACCTTCCAGAGAGCTATTCTTTAGCGCTGGAGGCCTAAGAACCTAAAAAGCTGAGCGGAACGGCCTAAAACCAAGACGTAGAATAGCTCTGGGATAGGCTTTCCCTGACCTGACCTTCCAGAGACCTATTTTCTTTAGCACGGGAGGCCTACCTAAAAAGCTAAGCGAAACGGCCTAAAACCAAGACGCAGAATAGCTCTGGGATAAGTCTTTAACTCGGGCGCTACTTTTTATAGCCCTCCCGGAAGGTCAGGGACTCCTTGCGTGCTGCCGACCCACCTGCCGCGCTATGCGGCGGCTCAGAAGATCTTCAGCGCCTGGATGCCGTTGACGGCCTGCAGCGCCCTGGGCTTCGCGGGCCCGGCGGCGGGCTCCGGCGCCGTCGCCGCGCTGCGCGGCGACGAGGACGGCACCGCGCCCTCCGGCGAGCGCGGCTTCGGCCCCCAGCGAGCCGACCCGCGCACCGGGGGGCAGGACGTTCGGGGGGTGCTGAAGGTGCCCCTGGCCCTTAAGGTGCCCACAGCGTTTCGCTCAATTATTCCAAATCCCTTAAAAATCGTCCCCCAAGTCCGGCTTTTTAAGGCGCCTTTTTGGTCATTAAGGGGGTCCGGTTTATTAGGTCGCGTTCTTTGGATTGGAGCTGACGGGGTCTGGTTTATTAAGGCGCCCCATCGAAGAGGGGGTCCGGAATATGAGTTCGCATTTGGAGGGGGGTCTGGTTTTTTAGGGGGGAGGTCGATTAATAAGGGATTTGGAGTATGGAGCCTCTGGGGCCCTCTGGGCCTCGTGAGGGGTGCTCTGGAGGCCTTGGGAGCCTCCTTGGATATCCTGGGGGGCACCTTGGGCCAGGGGCACTGCTAGCAACACCCGAGACGTGGCCGAACTTCGGGCGCTGGCCTCCACCGCCGCCGGCGTGCCTCCGCCGACGTCCAGCGCGAGCGCCGGGCTGAGCCCGTTCGCCTCTCGGCCACGCGCCAGCGCGACCCCCATGGGCAGGAGGGGGACCTCTTGTGCGCGGCCTCCGGGGGGCCGCGAGGGGCCCAAAGCCAGGCGCGCGGGCCAGTGCTGGGGGGGGCCCGCACCAGGGTCAGGTCGGGCATGTCCCCCTACAGGCGGATTTCGGAGGAAGAATTACGAATACCCAAACCATGCCCCAAAAATGCGTCGAACAAACTGACAAGAATCGCCCCCGGACTATTTCTTTGTCATACTTTTGAAATATTCTCCTGCAGATGGACAGGCCCGACGTAGCACCAGGGGCCACTCCGGCGACAGGTCGCTCTTGCGCGTGGCCGAGGCCTCGGTCTGCGCTCGGAGGCGTCTGGCGGCCCAGCGCCCCCGGGGCGACTTGGCGGTGCTCGCGCCCGCCGGCCCGGCGCCCTCGGCGAGCCGCGCGCTGCGCGCGCGGCGGGGGCCCGCCCCGCGGCCTCGCGCGTC